TGAAATAAATCCCTCTGTCTACTTGTTTCGGCTTTTTCTAAAAATAAAGACTAACAGAGGTCAATTTTGAGCCATCACTTCAAACCATAAAAAAGGAAGTATTTTGTTCTGCAATTGGCAATCAAAGAGTATTTCATATCATCCAAAAATAAATAATAATAGGGAAAAAATAGAAAAACAACCTTCCAAATTCTTTGTTTTGTGCTTATGTTTTGCTGAGTCCACCCAGAATGAACAAGCATTTCTGGTCAACCTGAATAGATGTGTTCTTTTTCCCAGGGAGATAAAATATTCTACCAAATGTATGCATTTATTTATTGTGCATTTTAGTTGTAAATACAAACACTGTTTTATGCCCGCAAAATGCACAAGCTATCATTTAAAAAAATGTTTATATTAACACTGGAAGCTGGGCGTACTGCCTAGCAGAGAAAATAATGTCAATTACCCACACAAATAGCTTTCCAAATCTCTCAGTGCCTGCTTTCTGCATGAGCAGTTAGATTCATAGAAATTAGAGATGGGTAAAGATCTTATTAACGTATCTCATCTACCTCACTGCTAGTAGAGGTTTGTCCCCCATTGTGCATCTCCTAGCTAGGTTTGCTCAGCCTAGATTTAAAACGATGGGGCCTGTAGGGTAACTTCTTATATACGTACATATATATCTATCTATTATATATGTTTGTATCTTCATTAGCAAGCAGAAATGTTGAAATTCTGCAGAGAAAAAGTGGAGTCATCACCTATACCGACCTGTAGTCAGCATAGAGTCGTAGAATAGCTTAGGTTAGAGAGGATCTTAAGGACCATCCACTTCCAACATCTCTCTGCGGGCTGGTTGACAATCACCAGATCAGGTTGCCCAGGATCTCATCCAACCTGACCTTGAATACCTCCAAGGGTGGGAGCATGCAAGGTCTGAAAGTAAATGCTCCCTTGGGTTGAGTTTGGTGAAGTAACAGGCCCTGGAGATGATGTTTCTCTCAGCCTTGTTGGCCTAGCAGCACTGAATGGATAGATGGGAATAGAAGCTTGATCACACTGGATTACTTCTCTTCTTCAAGCCTTTGCTCCCTCTCCACTGCTCCAGTATCGATAAAACACTTTCATGGTAGGAGCCCTCCAGGTATCCAATGGATTGATTTCAGGTATCATTCCCTTGCTGATACTCAGTCTAGAGCAAGGCATCTTGGCTCAGTTTAATTATTGTCACTGCTGTGTCTGCTGTTGGACCATTGCTTTCCACCTTGGACTAACTGCCATCCCAACAGCCCACAAACATGATACTGCAGGTTGCAACGTAAAGAGCCCAAAAGAAAGCCCAGCATGGTGATGCAATACCCAGGGATGTCCTTGTCCAAGCCCAACTCAATGGGTGCTCAAGCAGAGAAGAGGGAAAGCACACTAAGGCTTTGTTTACCTGCCAGCTCTCTCCAGGATCTCAGCAATCAGCTTTTTAATTTGATAGCAGATACATGCCTGTGGCTCATGTCCAGCCAAAACCACTTTGACAGTGAAACTCTGACATATTCTTTTTAAAGGTCATCGTAAGTGAGCCGGGCTCCTTCTATCAACTTATCAGTTCTTTACTTAAACCAGCTTAAAGAGAAACTTTCCATGGTGAATTACATCCTAACAGTATGTTATACTGTGATAAGCACAATCCATGGGACCCAAAACATTCTCTGCTCCAGAAATCGCTGATAACAGTGCGCCTTTTTCTTTCGCGAGGCACAAAGTTATCTGCTGTCATTGTAATGCACCTTCTCCTCCATCCAGACACTGAGCACATAGGCAACTGCTGGGGCAAACAACATTTCCTCTGTGTGAGTTGTAGTTTTGGTAAAAAAAAAAAAATTAGCTAATTCACTTCTGTTCTTAGGCAGAAGTGGCTGCGTATTCTTTGAATCCCCGCCTGTTAATTCAGTCCTGATGATGCTGGATAGTGATAGGACAAGGGGGAATGGTTTTAAACTGAGACAGGGGAGGTTTAGGTTAAATATTAGGAGGAAGTTTTTTACACAGAGGGTGGTGATGCACTGGAACAGGTTGCCCAAGGAGGTTGTGGATGCCCCATCCCTGCAGGCATTCAAGGCCAGGCTGGATGTGGCTCTGGGCAGCCTGGTCTGCTGGTTGGTGACCCTGCACATAGCAGGGGGTTGAAACCAGATGGGCATTGTGATCCTTTTCAAACCAGGCCATTCTATGATTCTGTGATTCTGTGATTCTGTGATTCTATGATTCTACGATTCTACGATTCTATGCTCTGCTTGCACATACCCCACTCCACGTCCTCCAAGTTCAGCACACACACTCATTGCTTATGGCTCATCTCTACTGTCCAGCAGAACAGGTGTTGGGTCCATTCAGCGCTTAACAGCTGTAATCTCATGTGGGAATTAAACCTTGCTGGGAGCTGCTCCTCCCAGCTCCTCTTTTTTTGTGTGGCTGAAGACGTTGCCAAACTTAAATAATTCAAAGTGAAATTTTTGGCATAGCAATATCCATACCAGGCTGTGTGGTCTTGGAAAGCTTTAACCAGAAAGCATATTAGGGAACATTTGTGCTGTTAAAAATAAAATGGTAACAGCAGTGATCCTTCCCGCACGGTGTGGGCAGGGTCCCAGCCTGCTCTTTCTGGGAAGGAGGTAACTGGATCGCCCCAGTACGAAGGGTGTGAAAATGTTTTGAAAACTGGATCTGCTCCTCAAAACATGAACTTTTCTCACCTTTCCCTCCCACTTCTGTTCCCAGGGCATGTCAGTGCCAGCCACAAATGGCAGAACAGATTTCCAAGCTGTAGAAAAGCTCCATAAGCACCTTGCTAAGATAAGCACGATGGTGACTCTTCCACCATCTTGCTGTCCTATCACTCTCCAAAGAGAAAAGCAACCATCCCAGCCTCTCTCCATTGCTACATCTGAGTCCCCACCAGCACCCTCATAAGAAACGGAGGTTGATGATGACAACTTTTGATGTCATTTATGTAGATGGACCCTGTGCACATGGTGATGCCATGATGCCTTTTTGCCTTATTGCTGGAAGCAATACAGGGTACAGCCATGCCCACACCTTATGGTTCAGGCAACCAGTTCTGTCCTCTTCCCAGATACCATGCTTTTCACACAAGAGGGGCTTTGTACCTTCAGGTGTCAGGGCATCCTAAAGTGCCTGTCCACATGGGAAGCTGTTTCATTCTAGAGATATAAGAATTGACCAGCTGCTCCCGGACCAGCTTCTGGACAGCCACAGCTGGGTTGAGTTTTAGTTTGAAGCCCTTCAATTACAAGGTTTATACAGGTGAAAATCAAGCTGGATCACAGAGATGTATTCTGTTCCAGGATGGACCTCAAAAGAAGCAGTGCTATACCTCACAGAGGAATAAATGGGATCTTTTGCCAGCCTGCAAAACCTGAAGCCAACCTCCACAGAAATGAGAAACAACAGGGTTCCAGGGAAGCAGCAACTTGTCAGATCCCTCACAACTTCAACTCAAGCTTCCTCCTTCCCAGTCTTTCACAGAATCATAGAATCACAGAAGCGTTAAGGTTGGAAAAGACCTCTAAGATCAACAAGTCCAATCCCAACCCACCCCCACCATAACCCAACAGCAGCACTGAATTTTTATGAATGCAACAAGGGAAGGATTCTTCCCCTCACTGATCTGGCTGGCCATAACTCAATCTACATTCAGTCCATAACACACACAGGTTATTAGAGGTATCAGCTGGTTTCTTCCATATCACCTCTCTCATTACCCTTCACACTTCTCTGGACTGCTGCTCCTACGTGGTCCTACATTACCCAGCCATGCACAGCACTGCACCAGAAGGGACATTAGAGCTCCTGTCAAATGAGTCAGCTGTTGTTAAAGCTTTTGTTACCAAAATATTGTATAAGTGTGACTGACAGAAAGCTGGAATTCTTCCCTAGCCCCTTTGCATGGTTGCAGCATGCTTCATTTCCTGCAGTCAGGAAGCATCCCCAGGGCCAAAGGACTGCTCACTCCTTAAGAACTAATTAAGAACTTAATTTCTTGCCTTTGCTGTGGACACTGATCCACCAGAATTTAGGCAGTCCATTGGGAGAGAGGTGTGGGATCACCAGAACCTGTCTAGATGAGACAACTGATGTATATCCTGCCACTATCCTATGTCCTGGGCATCACCATTACCCACTCAGCAAGGGCAATGTGTTTCTTTCTCAACGACGTGGCCTTGGCTTTACCATGATCCAGCTCTTTTGGAAATAAAAGCCTGAACAGCTCCTGTAGCTCAGTGCCAGAAATGAATATGGCATATCTAATCCTAGGACCTCTTCCAATCCCAGGACCTCTCCTGTCCCTGGAGGCACTCAAGGTCAGGCTGGCAGGGATGTGAGCACCTGACTGAGCTGTGGGTGTCCCTGTTCATTGCAGGGAGTCGAACCAGATGACATTTAAAGGTCCCTTCCAACTGAAAAGGTTCTATGATTCCAGTCTCCTTTCATTATCTGCTAGGAAACCTTGGGAAATCACTTCTTTCCTCTTCTCCTCCCAGCACCTGGCCTGACACAGAAAAACCTTGGATGGTTTTTAGGCTTTTCTGTAGGTAAAAAATGTGTCTCAGGCCCCTCAGAAATGCAGATGGATTTAGTGTGATGCTGAGGAATTAACCATATAGAGATTCAAAGATTTACACAGTGATGGGGCAGATATTGCAACCAGCTGCCCTTAACTCAAAGCTGGCATCTCCTTTACATGGTCACTTTTCTCCTCCTGAGTGTCCTGTGTACTCCATGTCTACTTGATGCTTTGGCAAGACTGGAAAAGCAAACATGTCCCTCTTAATGTCATCTTTCCCTGGCGTTTTACTTATTTAACATTGTTTGTGTTCCTCTCCAATTAATTCTGATCCCTCAGTTGGCTTCCCTTTTTAATTGTCTTCTATCTTTGTGATAACTTATAGCCTTGCTCCAGCGACAGTAATTGATCAAGGAACTCAGGGATAGGTGCATTTTTGAATAATTCATTTTATTGCTGCTCTTCATTTCTTATTCTCTTTCTGTACTGCTTCTCTGATGTAAACCAGGAGTGGATTTTCTCATTTCCAATACACACCTTGCAGCCAAGTTTCATAGAAACCTGAGAAGGAAAATAATTAATAATAATATAATAACAATAATAACAACAACAAAACCAACCAGAAGTGGTTAAGGATGAAATAGTAGCAGTCTGAAAGCAGATAGGTGGTCACTAATACTAGCTAGTACTGAAAGCTGGTGTCATCCCATGGGCTGAACTAGAGGTTGGTTCAAATGAAGATGCTCCATTGGACTCTGGAAGAGTCTTTATTAAAGCCTTCAAATTGTAGTGTTTTTAGCCTCCACCTGAGCAGTTCTGCATAGTTGAGTTCCCAGAATCAACCACAAGACCTGAATGGAGAAATTTGGGCCACAAAGCAAGCATCTGCCCCAGAGTATGGAATCATAGATTCATGGAATCCAGGATCTCAGCCTGCAGACTTGCCATGGGGTTTCACACAGTGGAAAAGATCTACTGACCCCCAACAACCTCATCCTTTTCCAAAGCATCATGATCCTCCAAAACACCTGAATGTCTGCACTGATCTATAAGCCAAGAGTCCACCCTCCAGCATGGAAATGTTTACCATCAACCCACAAATGGAATGAGATCCAGAAGACTTCTCCCTTCTAAGTACAATGCAGAATAAACGTGTCCACAGCTCCCTCCATATGCAGTGCCTCTAAAAGCTTTTCTGAAGCTGAGCCTGAGCACTGCTGGCCTCCCTTCTCCCTGTTTCTTCCTGAGAGTGCTACTAACAGGGTTAATACATGGGTGGAAAGGAGCCTGGAAACATTTCTGAGAATATCGTAGGTACCTCTGTTTTTTATGGCTTCTATTATTATGCCCATTATTCTGCTCAAATGTGGTTATTGGTTCATTAGTATTTAAATCAGCTGATAATACGTGGAGAGATATTTCTTCTGACACAGCCTATACAGCTGGTTTCTGTAGTGTTGAAGTTATAATGGTGCCAGCTGATGCCATTTATGTCAAACAAGCTTTGATTTTCAGCCTGCAGTAAGTGACAGAGCAGGGCCGTGCAATTTAGTAAGCTTAGCATTTTTGCCATCCACCAAGGGAGGATTATGGAGCTTGCAAAAATGAATGGTGAGTGAGCAACGCCCAGTGGTTTCCTTTTTATGGCCAACATATCCCCATGGCAGTGTCAGGATAAGGACACGAGGGATATGTTTTAAGCTGCTTTGATGGCTGCAGAGTCCTGGCTGGAGCTGGAGTGGAGGCAGGAGAGTGGGAGAAGCTTTGACTCACATGGAAAGAGGAGGCAAGAAGCAACATAGGAAGGAGAGGGCAGAAAGTGGGGAGCAAGAGAAGGGTGGGAGCTGGGGAAGGATTGAAGGCAGTGGTGATCTCCCTCCCCACACCCATACTCTGCATTTAGACTTTGGTTTGGGCTGTTTGTGAGGAGAAATCAAAATAGCACAATTATAACTTTCCGTTGTCCTTGGAGATCCTGCTGGTGATTTTGCTTTCTTTTGTGCAGATTTGGGATCTTTCAGGCTTTTGCTTTGGAAACGAATGAAAAAAAAGAAGAAAAAAAAAAAAACAGCAGGTATTTAGAGCCCTATCTGGCTTCTTATTTGAGAGATGAATACATATATGTGCACAGGAGGCATGTGAATGTGCAGATTACGTGTCTGGCTCTGCATAATTCTATCCCCCTACCCACGGTTTAATGACAGCAGCACTCTGTGGAAGATGGGGACTCTCTGGACCTTGCCTTGGGGACATCACTTGTTGAGTGCTACAACTCCAGATCATATTCAAGATGCACTACATGAGTTCAGTTTTGCTCTCTATCTGTCTTTCCCCAAGCAAAGGATCTGGGGAGTTTACCTGGTGTCAGGTTGGCATTTGACCCAGGAACTTCAAAAGCCCTGAGTCTCAATGATTCAGAATGCTAGAAAACACCCCAGAATTATAGATTCCATTTGGTCCTCGATACTGTAAAGCCCTGAAACAGCACCAGCTCATTTGTGCCCTCTGAAGCTGGTGGGACTAATTGGACTTGGGGCTCATCGGGCAATCAGGAATTGCCTTCAGCAGCTTTGGTGTCTGTCATGAAGACCACTCCAGATGATGAACCACTTGGGCACAAGATTTCAGGCATGCACCTCAATTGGTTGAGAAGCATTGTGTGTGACAGTGCTAACCAGAGCCTTAATTTCACCCAGCTTCTACACCAAATTTCATCTCCAGTGCTAGGAAGGTGCAGCATCTCTTCCTACCCTATGCACAGGGCTCAGCATGAAAACTTAACACTGCCTCTGTGCTTGAGGAAGGTTTCCTTACTCCCCACCATCATTCCCCATGGGGTGTGTGTTGGTAGAGCTGTGTGTGCAAGGTGTGCATGCAAACACCCCAGGGAAAAGACCAGGATCCCACTTGTTGCAGCTGTGGGACTCCCCATCTGCCTTTCCAGCTAATGTGTCTGCCTCGGTATTTATGTCACGTCCCAGCCATTAGCTGCAAGCACTCTAACAGACTCCCTGAAAGAAGCACACATGTTTCCAGATGCCTCCCCCTCCAGCTGGGGAAAAGAGATGTGTACGTAGAGGTAATAGAAGAAAACTATATTTTCTCCAGTGGCGTGGCTCCATGAGGGAAAAGCAAAACAGTGCAGCAACAAAAAAATTGAGCAAGAAAACAAACAAAGCCTCCGACTCTCTGTGTGCATTTCTCCATTTCAAAACACAACATCTCATCTATGCTCATCTATGCCCCATCCCTGCAGGCATTCAAGGCCAGGCTGGATGTGGCTCTGGGCAGCCTGGTCTGCTGGTTGGTGACCCTGCACATAGCAGGGGGTTGAAACTCGATGAACGTTGTGGTCCTTTTCAACCCAGGCCATTCTATGCTTCTGTGATTCTATGATCTATCCTGGGACAGCAAAGGACAGCAGTGCGAATGGACTCTCTCCTCCCACAAAACTCAGTCAGAACTATTGCTAAGCAAAAGGAAAAGGCCAATTTTTGTCACTGCCATCAGAGCCCGGAGGCATCGCTCAGTTCTCAGCCTTGACAGCAGTATGCTGTGCCACTGTGGTCACAGAGACGTGTGCACGTCCTTGTTTTATTCTTGCAGGGAAGGCACAAGTCACAACTAATTACAGCTGTGATGGAGGAGGCAGTTTCCAGTCATTGAGTGTGCTTCTGGAAAGAGTTTCCATGCCAGGAAGGATGATCTGCCCACAGCCTCTGCAGAGGGGCCAAGAATGGGGCCAAGAGCTGAAACCAGTAGAGTAGGTCTATGGATTTGCTGTAGGGCCTTACACTGGGTATGTCTGAACATCTACCACAGGGCACTGCTGCTTCTGATGAGCCTTCTGAGCAGTTCCTACATGCAGTGGGGATTTTTTTTTTTTTTTTTGCACAGAATTCTATTTTTGCAGCACCTGGTGCTTTCAGGTTGGATACTGGGACCTGGGGAGGTTCAGGTTGGATATCAGGAAAATGTTCTTCTCCAGGAGGGTGGTTGGGCACTGGAACAGGCTTCCCAGGGATGTGGTCATGGCACCAGGCTGGCAGGATTTCAGAAGCATTTGGACAGCACTCTCATATGTATGGTCTGATTTTTGGGTGCTCCTCTGCGGAGTCAGGAGTCAGACTCAGTGATCCTCATGGGTCTGTTCCAACCTGGGTTATTCTATGATTCCATGGTGCAGTGGAGCTGTCACTTTTCTGGAGACAACAAAAAAGGATGGGGACGGATATGGAAATATATATAATCCATGCCTTGGGGCAATTAGGAGATTCCCAGTAGCTGGGAATGCAGAAAGCCTCCAGTGCTCAATACTGCACCAGTGGAACAGTGAACTGCCTGCATTGGTGGCAGTACCACTGGTCACTAGGCCAGTTCTCACACATCCCAACCCTTCTGCACCCAAAACCATCCTGCAGGTGTTAGATCCCCAGCAATTTTATATCCTGCTAGGGAATACAAGGCTCACATCCCTACAAACAGTGGGTCAGTCCCAAAATTACCATGCTGGAATGAACTGGCACTCCCTTAGAGAGCATCTTCTGCTTCTCTCTGGTGTGATTTCAGACCCACCACACAGCTTTTCTGGGACTGCACCCTCTCTGCTGAAACTTATCAGCTCTCTGTGACTTTCTCATCCTCGTCTCTCCCAGAAGAGCCTAAGCCAGGCTAACAGAGCTAACAGAAACACTGATCAACATGGGGAATGCTGCTATAGAAATACATAAATGCTATCAAAATGCCTCCCCAGCTCCCATCACCTGCCCCATTTTTGGAGCATCCTCCCTGCATTGAGGAAAGGAGTGAACGCATCCCAACCCTGAGCTGCAGAAAGATGGTACCAGACTTGCACATTCAGCAGCTGTTTTTCCTAAGGCTGGAAGGCAGCTATCAGTCAAAATTAACACTGCATGAATTCCTGCAGTAAGGGTTTTTCACTGCTGAACAGTAACAGGATGGGGAAGGAGAAGGGAAGCAGCGTGGATGGAGAGAACAGACTCATGCAGGGGGCAAGGATGGGGATTTTCACCTCTCAGTGGAGAGCTGCAATTTTAATGTTCCACGGTGGCTCTGATGCTGTCCCCTCTTAGCTGGAGCATTGCAAGGGCCACACTGTCAGGAGCTGATTGACTGTATACAGGAGGAGAGGTAATGGGCTTAAGTTGCTTTAGGGGAGGTTCAGGTTGGATATTAGGAAACATTCCTTCTTAAAAAGAGCAGTCAGGCACTGGCACAGCTGCCCAGGGAGTGATGGCATCACCATCCCTGGAGCTGTTCCAGAACCATGGAGATGTGGCACTGAGGGACGTGGTTATGGGCACAGTGGGATGGGTTGTGGTTGGACTTGGTGATCTTAGAGGTCTCTTCCAACGTTAGTGGTTCTATGATTCATCAAATGGGCCTAGAAAAAGCAAGCAGGGTCCTGTGGGGAGGTGGTGACGTGAGAAGAATTGCCTGGTATCACTCCAATTCCCCACGGAAATGTTCCTCACCTCATTGCCATCACCAAAACAATGGTGTAACGTGCATGCTTAGCTCTCAAAGTGCCACAAAATCTGTGCAAACCCCAAGTAGTAGCTGCAGCCGTGGTGTTCTGCAGGGACAGATATCTCTGGTGCATTTGTCTGCACCAGAAAAATCAGAACAACAAAATTTCTCTGTGTTCCACTCTTCAGATTAATGCCTGAATCTGAATCCTTTCCTATCTCTCTTTCTTTTTTTCCTTTTTTATCTGGTGATATTTTTTTTTTTCCCCCTCTGAACACAGCAGAACATGTTCCCCCCTTCACTTCACTGCAGGATCTCAGCCGAGCATTTCAAAGCTCTTTCCTCTCCCTGGACGGAGCCTTAGCAAACAATATCGATGATCTAAGTTTCTCTCCAAAATGAAAGGAGGAATACGCTCCCTGGTGCTCTTGTGTACGGTCTGAACGCGATCCCCGCAGAGAGGAGTTTGCAAATGAAATGTGACAAGTATTTCTCACGATTGCATCTCTTCCCTAATCACTTTTGGCTGCGTGAGGAGCGGCCGCCTTTCTCCTTCCCGTAACTCTTGTTAGGATAAATGTGGTCCCATTGTCATAGAATCAAATGGGGGTTTGGCCTCTTCTCCCCAGGTAACAGTGATAGGATGAGAGGGGATGGCCTCAAGTTGCAGCAGGGGAGGGTCAGGTTAGATATTAGGAAGGATTTCTTCTCTGAAAGAGTGGTCAGGCACTGGCACAGCTGCCCAGGGAGTGGTGGGGTCACCATCCCTGGAGGTGTTTAAGGACAGGGTAGATGTAGTACTTAGGGACTCAGTTTTACTGATCACCATTGGAAATTGGTGAATAGCTGGACTAGAATCACAGAGTCGTAGGATCATTAGGGCTGGAAAAAACCTCTCAGATCCTCAATTCAACCCATCCCCACCATGCCCACTGACCACATCTTTCAGTGCCACATCCCCACTGAACACTTCCAGGGATGCTGACCACACCACTCCCTGGGCAGCTTATGCCAATGCATTACTATTCTTTACAAGAAGAAATGTTTCCTTATATCCAACCTGACCATCTCTTCGTGCAACCTGAGGAAACTTCAGTCCTCCCATTTCCTGAGCTGGAATAGGCTAGAAGTATCTGGAGGGCTGTGGTGAATTTCTGGGAAAAATCTGGGAAAAATTCAGGGAAAATCTGAGTGTGATGGTGCTCAGGTTGCTGGCCTCAGTGCAGAAACACCATCCGTAAAGGTGAGACATTGCTGGGAGTTGGCTTCCATCATCCCCATACATCCCATCTCTTCCCATAGGGCTCTTGTGCATGTTGTGATAAGCACACGTCAAAGTTGATAACAGGGATTTGGATGAGCAAAATATATGGCTCAGAGGATGCTTTCCCCTCTCGCTATGAGGCTGGATGTGTGCAGAGACTTTCCTTTTTCTGTGGATGGAGGCACTTTGGGTCACATGAAGGGTTGAATCCACATGCAGACCACTGAGCACTCCCCAGAGGAGCCCCATAGATGAATCTCTCTGCAACATGAATGATATGAATATGGTTCTGTGATGAATATGATTCTGTGATTCTATGAAGCAGCTCTGCATCATTCAAAATGAGAAGGAAACACACACACAGAACAAACCAGTTTTCAAGCTGGAAATCCATGCATTTTTCCTAAGAAAGGCTTGTACTCCTCTTAATTCTTTCCAATTCTATCTGCACTCCTTCCTATGCTGTGGGAAATAAGCTGCTCCATTTTAATTGAGAGAATTGCAACAATAGCTTGTTTAAATGCATTTGGGGTCCACCCAGAGCAAAATCCAAAGAATATAACCAAATTTAAAAATGCAGTATTACCATTGCCCCTCCCTCCAAAACAGAGAAAAACGGGATGCACTATAAGATATTACTTCTTCAACTCTCAAAGGAAAGGTTTCATTTTGTTTTGTCCCCACCTCATTTCACTTGTAAAGTAATCACTGCGTTTTGCTAAAATTTTAAAATGGGCAGCACTGGAAAATCAAAAATCAAAACATTCCCTCTGACAAAGTTATTAAAATTGAAACGCCGTGACTCTGCTGCAGCAGATTAATTCTAAAAAGCAATCTGAAAAAAAAAAAAAAAGAAAAAAAAAAAATCCTGTAAGTGGCTTTTGACCAAATGACTGGAAAATGAGTTCATTGAGAGTTTCACTCAAGCCAAATCTGCATTTTGCAGCATAATAAACTATTTGACCAAACATCATTTCATGTGCTAGAGTGGCCTCTCTGCTACATATCAATAGGAAGGCTTGAAGAAAGAGCATGCCCAGCTGGGTGCACTGTTAATGGGTCAATTTGTGGCTCATTTTCTGTTATCATACCGTATGGGAGACAAGCTTCTCTATGTTAACTGGGAGCCCTGCAGAGACAATGGGTTTCAGCGGGTTTTATTACCCCACGGTCTTGAACTTGCCTTTGCCTCCTGTTGTTCCAGGAAATCTTTCTGAGCACACACACTGCTTGCTTTTGTGTTCTTATCTAAGCATGTAGTGGAGGTACTAAGGGCAGCCAGCTGCTTTATCCTCATCTGCAACCTCCCTTAGCCTCGTACCTAGCCCTACCCATGACCATAACCATGACCATGACCATGACCATAACTATGACCATGACCATAACCATAACCATAACCATGACCATGACCATGACCAAGATCCTCTACGCAACCATCTCCTTCCTGCAAAAAAGAGATTGAAACACTTACGGCCACAAAAAGTTTTTCCAGTGAAAGTGAGCACACTGAAGTCTTGGTAGACCTGGGAACAGGGAGCTCGTTTACTCATAGAGTCAATTAGCTCATTTGCCAACAAGCAGGAGACTTTGATTGCCTCTGCTCCTACAGAAAGATAAAGTGGATAAAGCAGTAAGTATTTACTCTTTTCTGCCTATGTACACAACAGATTTCTGTTGTGTTTCTTTTAATGGGGCTCTATTCTAATTGCGTTTTGTTACAACGTGGAATTTTAAGCTCATCTTCCTATTAGCACTGTGTGTGTGATGTTCTGCATTTCAGGTCTGCTCTCTTAAATAACCCCTTCCTTTGACACGATCTCAGCCAAAGACCAGACAAACCCTCCCAAAATGTTTTTATCTGGCGTCCCTTCTGAAGTCTCCCCAGAGCCAAACATGTTCACAGCTCCGCAGGATCCAAAGGATCCTGATGACGTTTCATTAATGGAGCTCATCTACCCACGGATCCAATTTCGTCTGCTCATCAATGCTGCTGGTGTGTCGTGTGAACAGCATATGCCACAGCAGATGGCACAGACTCAATTCCAGTGAGCAGCACTGGAGTGAAATCGCTCATCTGCTCTCCCCTGCTTTGGATGAGCCAGGGGTGTTACTGGAAGAGAGGTTTGAGTTGAAAGGAGAAGTGAAAAAATAGCTGAGCTCAGTATCTCCTTTGCCTGAACCCTGCAAAGTATTCGGGTCCTTTACATTGCCTTACTCAGACTATATTACTCTACCTGCCAAATTAAAGACTCCCTTACTGTGACTTCTGCTTTAGAGCTGACATTTACCCAGAGAAGCTGTGGATGCCCCATTCTTGGAGTGCTCAAGGCCAGGCTGGATGTGGCTCCGTGCAGCCTGGTCTGGTGGTTGGTGACCCTGCACACAGCAGGAGGGTTGAAACCAGATGGTCGTTGTGGTCCTTTTCAACCCAGGCTCTTCTATGATTCTATGATTCTGTGATCCTATTCAGAGCTGCAGTAGAAGTTATTTTCCCTTGGCCATATGATTCTGTTGGTCTCTGATAGAATTTGAAAGCAAACTAATCAGTAAAAGGGGCTGGGTCATTGCACTCTTTAAGTATTCTCATTGGATTTCTGTGTGTGGCTTGGTCCAACCACCTCCTGGAGCCCAAAGTCACAATCTGAACAAAATTGTCTGGCGAAAATGACAAGCATGTCCCTTCAGTGGCCACTGGTGACCTGCCTCTGAGTCGCTCAGAACTTTCTCAGACTTTGTTCTAAGCAGTTCTCAGTCTCTAGTGCTGATGGGTCAGAATGGTTTGGGCTACTTACTTTACCTACGTGTCATCATAATGGGTTTTCTGCTTTCCCAAGTGGATGAACTCCATTTAGAATAGGCTTCCCTAAGAGAAATCTTCCCATAAGAGTTCTCCAACCATGTCTTTATTAAAGACCACAGTCAAGCTCCTACCCAACCCTCCAAGGATTTCCTGCCCCATTGCCATCAGCTACATGTAGTACAACATAAATCAGAAATTCATCCCACCTTCCACCACGGCTGGTGTGTCTACCTGCCACATGATGCTGATAGAGATTAGCATGTGCCTTGAAAACATCTGTCATTTGGATCTTCCTCATTTTGCTAATTAGTTGGGTCGATTAACTTGGGAACTCTCCTGTGTTCCTGATTAGAGTCTTAATCCCAGAAACTTTGGCACTGAGCAGAGATAATCCTGCTTTTTTTTTTTTTTTTTTCCATGAGATTTCCCTCTAATCCCACTTGGCCATTCTTCACCCATACAGCCCCAGAGATTGCATCATTTCTCACACCTGAATTGGTACCTCCATACACCAGTTGACATGTCAACCCATTGCTACAGCAAAGCAAAACATATCCCTTGAGTAACACCAGCAGATAAACTTTTCTCTCCTTTCTGGGATTTGTAGATTAGTTCATTAACATTCTAAGCCAGGCTGGTCAAAGATTTGGATGGTGATCAGACAATAGTTCAACACATTCAATTTACAATGCAATTACATTTTAATAAGTTGTGACCCTTGAGGCAGGACCTACCACCTGTCAGCTGAGATCCAGCAGGTGACCTCATCTCAACCACAAATAGATGCTCTGCAGCTGAGGAGTCAGCAGTGTAATAAAATATAACCTCTTGTAGTTGTCCAACCAGACCCTTACTCTCTGACCTCAGCAAATAGTGGGAACCAGATGCCTCAATTTCCCTGCAGGTATAATTGGGGCCTTATTTCTGGCTTTACAGTGATGCTGTAGAGAATTGGGAAGTCCTTTGGCCCCCTTCCCACTGGCCCAGCGGGGAGGTAAGATACTTTAAAGGAAGGGGAAATGAGCAAAAGCCAAGTGTTACATACCCCCATCTGTGTGGGGTTGGGTTTAGAGCAGCCTCCAATGCACTTCACCCAATCCCGACTGTAACTAAAAGACTGCAACCATTTAATAATAAAAAAAATAAAAATCTATCCATAATCCCTGATGACAAATTCCTGAGAGGGTCAAATTCCTTTATGAGCATGAAACGAGAGGTTTTATGATCATGCTGCCTTATTATCCCCAGCTTCCTGTAGTGTCATATGCATCCTAAGAACCAATTTACTATGTCTCTCCCTATTTCTCCAGCAATATTAGGAGCAAAACATCTTCTAAATGTCCTTTCATAGCCATAGCTGTTGTTTTTTTTCAGTAAACATTTGCTTAGTGGTGCTTGGAGACCCAGTCCTTGCTGAAGGGCCAAAGGATCCAAGCATCCACTGAGGATACGAGTGGATTTTGGTGGTACTTTACAGGGAATAAAGGCTGAATTGCTTGTTTTCTTTGTGATAGAAGAGGGCAGACAGTCACCAGAGCCATGCTGGCTGCAGGAAAGGGTTGGACAATGCTTTTGCTTTATTTTTCTCAAGGGACATCAGTAAAACCTCTGGTTTAAATGAAGAGAGCCAGCTGCTCCTAAAGGACAATCATAACCCGGACAGAAATCTCCCACACAGTTTATTTTTCCTAGAACATGATTTTTGGGGAGTATTTTGGGTGGGGTTTTATTGGTTTTGTTTGCTTAAGCATACATGTTCAATTTTCTCCTTGAGCCAGAGGGGTTAACATCACTTGGAGGAATAACCATGGGGCTCCATCTACTCACTGTGCTTTTGGTCATACAAACATAGCATCGTTAAGGTTGAAACCTCTGTGATCATTAAGTCCAAACATCAACCCATCCCCACCATGCCCACTAAGTGCGTTTCTTCTAAGTCTGCTGCTTTTCATGGCTGCTATGCACTATTCTTCCCTGGATGTTTTCAGCCCATAGAGTTGAGCTGTTTAGACACTGGAATCTGCTGTGTCAGAGCATCTTTGCTCCCATCTCTGGCTATGGACGTGCAGAGGGCTGTTCCAATGGGCTCCAGGGGATTAAGCAGTGGAATTTAATGAAGAGGTTTTCTTTTTCCAAACTCTGGAGGAGGAGATAGGTCACCTGGAGTCAAACACTGTTGTCCCAGGGCACTTCAGTGCAGCAAATTCAGTTCACCTGTGAATAAGCCTCAAAGTCAATGCTGGGAAAGGACAGCAGCAAAAGCAAGAGGCAGGCAGAGCACCGGAGCTCCTTTTCTCCCCATGACCTTTATTTCCATCCTGCAGCCCTTGGCAGCTAATTTTCCTCGAAATGGGATCAGATGCTGTGTAGGAGAAGTGCATTTTTCCTCCCTTTCACCTGGACAGAGACCCTCAAACAGCTCACAGCAACCTGACTATGCAGATCTAATTCACTTCTCTTTTCCATTCCCTCCCTTTGGCTACATTTTCTTGTTTTATCCCCCTCCCTCCTTATAGTTCTGAGTCCCCTTTTTCTTTCTTTTCTGCCTTCTTTTCTGATTCACACTTCCAAAGCCACCCTTAGCAGAGAAGAAGGGGAGAAGGAAGACAACCCCATGGGTACATCTCTCCCCTTTATTTTCAGTCCTTCAGAAAAGAAGCAGGGATAGGGGACAGGGGGAAGAACACACCACACTGAAAGCCCTGGCAATGCATTCCTGCAGCTTTCCTAACTGCCAGGGGAGTGTTATCTGGCCTTGCACACCAGGAATGAGAACTCGTGCCTTGTGAAGTGTAATAAGGAGAACAGCGCCTAATGGAAAAATCATTTGCTCGTGGCATTTAATTAAATATGTAAATTTATGAACGGCCCCAAAATCATCAAATGAAAAAGCAGAGCCTTGTGAATTTTGATTTGATTTCCTCCATGGGCTTTCCCCTCATCCTCCCATACTCCCTGTATCCTTACTCAAAGGGGAGGCAGAGTGGCTGCCAGGCTGTCCTTGGGGTGTCCCAGCAATGATGCACACACAGAGTGTTTTAATTCCCTGCACATTAGCTGCTGGGCCAAGCAGATGGCAGATGGGGCTATGCCAGCTCCATCCATTCCCCTTTTGCACAGAGCATGGAGATACAAGTGGTTCTTGGCATGGGCCTGGAGCTTGGTGATGTGGCAACACGGTCTTGGAGATGTCACCCATCCAGAAACCCACACTTTATGTGGAGGACTGGCAGTGCCTTGTGCCATCCCCTGCACACAGATGAAGGGACTGTGCAGGTTCAGCACAGTCACAAAATCACAGAATTGTAGGGGTTGGAAGGGACCTCTGGAGATCATCCAATCCAACTCCATCACCTCCTACCAGATGCACGATTCCCAGCACTGTCACGGACATAAAACCCTCCAGTGAAATCACTTTTGTCCCTTGCTGTGCTCCAAAATCCACCTCGAGATGGTTTAGAATACCAGGATTTCACCAAGGCTTGCTTCTTGGTTCTATGATTCACATCATTTAGTACTATCTCTTCCCATAGATTCAAAGATGGGAGACAGTGGGACTTGTGGCACAGCATGCATTATCCTAGGTGTCCATCCTTGCTAAATAATAATACTTGTCCTTGCTTTGAAAAAAAAACAACTTCCGTTTTCAGAGCTGGTGTTCTCAGAGAGAGAACTGTCAGGCAACCCAGTTGGCCTTGATGGTTGGACCTGATGGTCTTGGAGGTCTTTTCCAACCCTAATGACTCTGTGATTCTATGGCTTTTTGAATTGCAGCTGACCAGGTAGAATTTGGAGCTGCTTCAACCTTCCCATTCCCAGCATGGCTTTTGAGTCTGACACATGGACTCTGAGATGTAGGGTGCACAGGTCCTGCTGATCCCAGCAAAGACTTTTTCTCAAAGAAAAACCACAGCAAGGCCATGACAATCCATGTTTATTTCTCACCTGTTATTTGTCAAGTGGCCGCAATTAGAACAACAGTTAACAGTGTTAAGTTGCTCCAGGGGAAAGTTAAGTTGGATATTAGGAAACATTTCTTCTCAGAAAGAGTAATAATGCATTGGAACAGGCTGGCCATGGAGGTGAAGTCATGGCCCCCGGAGATGTTCAAGATGTGACAGCTGGGGATATGGTCAGTGGGCATGGAGGGGGTGGGATGGGGTTGGATTTGGTGATCTTAGAGGTCTTTTCCAATCGAAGTGATTCTATAATAATAAGTGTTCAAGTGATAGAGAAAAATCAGCCTGCTTAGAAGGGTCTGTCCAAACACAGATGTAGGTGTAACAAAGATAGCAGAGCCCCATTGCAGTGAGTCCTGAGCCCTAAAGGAGAAAGTAAAATAGAAAATGGAAAATGAGAGAAAGAGGAGGTGAACCTTTTGGTGTAAAGGCCATACATTCATGTTTGCAGTGATCCAGCAGTAAGACTGGAGCTATGTCCAAGAGGATATGGGCATGGTTTTCTCCATCACAGCACACGTTGCACCAGGCACACACACTGCTCTGGTGTCACCGCTCACCTGGAGTGGCATAA